TTCAAGGTTAAGACAATATTTTTTTAAAATTCTCATCATCTAGTGATCTCAATATTTTACCACTAAATAAGAATCAAAAATATTTTCATATGCTTCAATTGATTCAAATCGATTTTGAAGTGAAAAAATAGGTTTATCTACTCTACATATATAAAGCAATCAACTCTAAAAGATTCTTCAAGGGACTTTGTGATTTCGCTATCCATATTTTCATTAAATTGTTTCTTAAGAAATGCATGTTTATTTTCATCTCATATGCAATTTCCTTGATAGAAATCATAACACTCATAGTACATATAATTTTTATTTTAAAAAAATATATATATAAGTAATTTTTTTTTAAATGGGGCCCCCAAAATATATGGGGCCCCAAGCGATGGCTTTAGTGGCCTAGGGGTTAAGATGGCCCTGCTTATTACATAGTATATATAGAACTGAAGTTGTACGCACAGATCATATAGATATATTTACATTATCAGTTTATTTATGAGGTGGATAATTTTTAATTTTAAGTTTTCTTGCTTCTATTAATTTATGTAATATAGAAAGAAAAAATTGTAACTATCATATTATTATATACGTTTTTTTTTAATCTTATATCAATGAATATAAATTAGATTCTTTTGGTCTCTCTGTCTAAATCAAATACTCATAATTTGAACATGAGAATGAGAATGAGAATATTGAAAGAGACATTAGATCAAAAGCTATATAAAAAGCACAAAAAGAAGAGTGGCATCAGATCCAAGAGAGTGTTTCACTTACTTTTATGCAAATAAAAAAATCACTCACTAATTACTATTCCTCCCATTTCAAATTATCTATCGAATTTTTCCTTCATACGTTCTTTAAAAAAGTGGTGTCACTTAAAACCCCCCTATTAACAAAAGTTTTGTTATGATACTTGAAAAGGCATTACTAAAAAATAAAGATATTTTCACTAAAAAAATGTCGAGTGACTATTCTGATTATTTTTTAATTAAATCGATGAGAAAAGAAAAAATAATAACGTTTTCATACGAAAAAATTAAGAAGCTTCCTACTATTCAATAAGAATTTGTTTCTCATCATGCCCTTTTTTCAGTAAGCTTATTTGGTGGAAAATGAATGGAAACATTATATTTTACGACATATATTTTCTATTTATTCACGATGGGACAAAAATTTGTTTCTCATAGTGAAACAACTTTTAAGGTATCACAATTAGATAAATCACTTGAGCCACAATACAATATTTTCGATGCCATAAAACTAGATCAGTAAACTATTACACTTTCTTTAAAGGATAAGTAAGAACTTTTAAAATGATAGATAATTTGATATAAATAATTTTTAAAATTATAATAGATAATTTGAGAGTAAGGGAGTATATAAAAGCAAAAAAGAAGAACAAAAAGCAAAATAAAGATTCTAAATTAATATCATTGATTAATTCCTTTTTGCCTCATAGTTTGAAAAGGAGCACTGGCATCAGATCCAAGAAAGTGTTTCACTTACTTTAATGCAAAAATCACATATAGTAATTATTATAAATTGAAAGCAAAATGCTTTATTCTGATAATGACCATATTATGGAATAGAAAAAAATTACAATTTCCTTTTCTAATTGCTTCTATACTAAATGTTGATATGAATCGAAAAAGAATAATTCAAATAATATCTATTAATATTATCAAAAATATTGTTTAAATATTTCTACGAGAGAGTTCTATCGATAATGTAAGAAAATATCGAAAAAATAATAAATATTTTTTTATTTTAACTAATGAATGGAGTTTCTTTCTCTATTCTATCATATTCACCGATACTGATCATTGATATTGTTAAAGTTGTCAATGTATGATATGTTGATTTCTCATATGATTATTATTATCTTTAAAAAATCATATTTCTTTTCGATTCTAATTTTTTTCAATAACAATGAAAAACAAATAATTATTTGAAATAATAACTATTAACTGAATGACCTTACGAAAATTAATAAGAATATGCAAAATACCACAAGGAAAGTAAGAAATTTTTTTCATTTCATTCTTACATTAATTACTCAAATCTTGAACATAATTTGTTTTTCATCCCTATTTTCTCCAATGGCAATATTCAAATCCAATGAAGCATTATTTTCTTCACTAAATTTCTGAATATTTGTAGGAAAACATGTTCTTGAAATTGAACTAAAGTACTCTACACAGCTGAAAATGATTATAGAATCTTTAATTAACACTAAATCACCATTAGGAAGTGTTAATTTTCCACTTTCAATAGCTTTTTGAATACCCTTTTGTGAAAAAGAATCAACTTGATCCATATCTTCCATGAAGAACACTCTCCTTGGATTTTCTTGAATTGCATTTGTAAATCTCTCGAGATAACTCCGACCTGTTGAGACATAATATAATTAAGTAATTATAAGTCTGCCACCACTCAGGTCCACAAAGTCAGGGCCGGTGTGTGTTGAGACATAACATGTTTAATAACTTGTTTGGTCAAACTTCTAGAAAGTTTAAAATGCTTATTTTAGAACGTTGAGGTGTTTGACCAAACTTTTAGGGTTTAGCGGCTTTCAAGCACAAATTGTTACTCTAGCATCGATAAAAGTAACTTTCAGATTGATTAACCAAACACAAACTGTTACTATACTCCAGAAGTTACTTCTCACAAAAAGTGTTTTTCAAAATAAGTAAATTTTAGAAGTTTGGCCAAACAGGCGGTAAGTAATGAAAGTGCATTGAGAGTAGGGGTGTGAATGGGGATAGGAGAAGTCGAAACATAATATAATCAAGTAAATAAAAGTTTTTTTTTTTGTAACGATGAGACGGTCAGACAGTTCAACAGTACTATACCTTGCTCGTCTCGAGATCTTTTGTTATTGACTTCTTGATCAGTTGAATCTGTTCTTGTTGATGATGAAAATGTACTTAATCCAATGGAAATGAAACAATCTTGAGAGCCAAAGATTATTTTAGCTAACTCTTTTGAAATTTTCTCTTTGCCATGAGAATCAACACCTAAGAACAAAAGCCAAGTTTCTTCCTTTTTGTGTCTACGTTCAAGAATTGTGCTTACTATATCATGAATGATATCTTTTTGCCATGGAACTTTTTCCTCCAATGCCTTGCAAAGAATCTTCACGTTGCTCGAACTGTTCAAAAATGTTGATGAGTGCGTGCATTTCTGAAGGATCTGACACGAGTGCAACAACATTTCTGGAGAGTCAGAGCAACATAGCTCTAAGTGCTCAATATGTCCACTTGCTTCACTTGATGAAGCTGAATTAGGAATCGAATTGGGATTCGATAGAAGTTCAGGCTTTGTATTCAAGAATTGATGTTCTTTCTTCGATGAAGAAGAAATCGAAGTAGAGGAACAAGGAGATGATGAAGATGGACTAAAAAAGCCTTTGTCTATAAAGTTATGATCATGCTTGTGGACAGAACTGCAAGGAAATTAGTGCAAATATCGATTAAATAGATGATTAGTCAATTATATAGTTTGAAGAAATAACTTGAATATAAAGTAATAATGGAAAATTGTGTACTTTCCGGCTATGTTGTTCAGACTCTCCAAAAAAATGATGCCGGACTTGTGTTAGATCCTCAAAAGATGCACGACTTTTGGAGGATCCAACACACACCTGTCGTCATTTTTGAAGAGTCCAAGTAGCATAGCCCAAGGGTGTGGCCTAGCCGATGAAGTGGTAAAGACGCACAAGCTAGTCAGAACACCACCGTTATAGAACAGTAAATAAGTAGAAATGTTAAGGAAATATATACCTTTCGAGGTTAAGGTTGAGATCCAAGCTGACATCCGGGAGTGTAAGAGGATGAAGATCCCAAAGAGTCTGTAGAGAAGGACAGCCAGTTTTACATTTCGTATAAGTCGGAAAACTAGCAATTCCCATAAGCCATAGCCTTCCGTTTTCACTCATTTCGCCACATAACAATCGACTAAGCTCCAATATCATGTAGTTGTTTTTTTGCTCATTGTGTACTTTAGTCCAAAACTCAGATATCCATTCAAGATCACCTAAATATAAAACAACCCCTCTGTGTATACAGCTTTTTAGTAAAATCCTTAGCTCTCTAATCTTGGCATCGAATTCTTCTTTCGAGACATTTCTCAGTGTAGAAAGTGGAACACTTATGAACTGAACATGTTTCATGTGTGATGATACTTCTCCTTTATCGAACTTATCGACAACTCCTCTAACAACCCCTTCAGCATTAGCTAAACACTCTGCTACAATAACTGTGTTTCTCCTTTTCTTGTTCATCATTGTTTCTATAACACTCATCACATCATCATTCTTGATTTGATCATCACTTGATTTGCCTAGTGACAATTTGAGGTTATCTCCTGGTGGTAGAACCATCGATTTTGCGCTATTTTTGCAAGAAATCTCCGAAGAAATAGCGTGTTCTACATTGGTTTTTAGTTGGATGCTAGAAAAACCGGCTTCCCTCATGACTTGGCTAACACTGGGATCATCACCTGATTTGCATAGTGACAACTTGAGGTTGTTTCCTGATGCTATGACCATCTGTTTTGTGCTATTTTCGGAAGAAATAGCGTGTTCTACATTGGTTTTTAGTTGGATGCTAGAAAAACCGGCTTCCCTCATGACTTGGCTAACACTGGGATCATCACCTGATTTGCATAGTGACAACTTGAGGTTGTTTCCTGATGCTATGACCATCTGTTTTGTGCTATTTTCGGAAGAAATAGCGTGTTCTACATTGGTTTTTAGTTGGATGCTAGAAAAACCGGCTTCCCTCATGACTTGGCTAACACTGGGATCATCACCTGATTTGCATAGTGACAACTTGAGGTTGTTTCCTGATGCTATGACCATCTGTTTTGTGCTATTTTCGGAAGAAATAGCGTGTTCTACATTGGTTTTTAGTTGGATGCTAGAAAAACCAGCTTCACTCATAACTCTGCTAACACTAGGATCATCAAGAATTGAAATAACCAGCTGGTCAATTTCTACTTTGAGGTGCTGTTGTTGTTGCTGATTCTCTACTGAACCGCGACGTTGATAGGCTTGTGCCCTCTTAAATGCAGCAACTAAGGCATTAGAAAGAAAAGGAGGGTGAACATGAGGCTCGAGAATCGGATTAGATGCAGAGGTAGGAAGCCTATTGAGTGCTACATTGAAGCAAAGTTCAAGGGCTTTGTACTGAATTGGATGAGAATTTGTTTGAAAACAAGCTTTTCTTAAAAGCGTAGACGAAGAGGAAACTAACATTGCACTTGCTACATGAAGAGGAGTTACATGTGAATGTCCTCTTCTTTTAGCTAAGTTCAAAGCTTGTTTCACTATACTTGAAGATTCAACAGTTAGTGCTTGTTGGAAACTAACATTAGTCGTCATTTTCACTCTTTTTCGAAAGATCAAAGATCGATAAGTATAGATTTCGAAGAGAAGTAGTGTTTTTTAGTTGTGTGTTTTGTGGTAAGTGATAGAAGTGAAGGGAATTAATAGGAGTTTTTAAGGCTTTGTGCTTTTCTTGTGGTTGTTGGTTTTGTATGAGAAAGTGTGAAAGCATGTGAAGCAAAGCTAAATTGTCTCTCCTATCTTTTTGGCTTTTATAAGTGATAAAAGGAAACTAGACTGCCTATCTTTTATGGAAAAGTAGTTATAAGATATGATTATAGGGATCCGACCGCGTTCACTTTTACTTTTTCTAGCCAGTATACATATGTTATACACCGTTATACACATGAGTGGCTATTTATACTATACATCCGCCAGCTATTTTTAGTTTAAGCGGTTAGTGAACATATATCTAGATAGAAGTTAATATTTCCCACTGAAACCTTCATGAAAATGATGTGGTTTTATATTACTTTGATATACTGACAACGTAAGCAAAAAAGTCATCGCGCCCATATTGGACACATTGGAGCAGTTGTTACACCATTTGTGTTGGTCGATACTTATTTGACAATCGTCTACAAGAGCAGAGCCCCCCTTGGTTGAAAAATTATATTGTGCTAATAAGTAAGTATATTTTTTTGTAATAATCCATAAGAAGTAAGATTTGTAACCTTGAAAATATGACAAGTTACGCGGTTCAACAAATTAAAATACACTATTAATACTCCATAAGAACTTTGGTGAAAAAGAGAAAGGGGATATAGGAAAAGAGAAAAGAAAAAGCTTAAAGGAGAGAAGAAGACTGTCTGTCTGTTGAAGGAATTGGAAAATGTATTTTTTTTCTAGTTCAAGCTTCCTACTATATTGCAAGTACAATCAATTATCGAGCCACGATTTTCACTAAGGGGTTTTAAAATATGAAGAAGTAAACACACGAAGAAGCCAAAAAGGGTTCAACATCTACTATATATATACATAAAAAAATTTAACCATGTATTACGAACAATATAATTTTCCGCCAAAGGAGATTGATTAGGTGAACCCCCTCGTCCCTACTTGGCTCCGCCTCAGTACAATCTGTTCTCTCTAGCTCCTTCATGACTCAAGAATAAAGAACAAAGAATTCTTTGGATGATTAGTTAAATATTCTCCAAAAGTTAATGTCTTTATATTTCTTGATGTACTTTTGTTTTACTTCCATATAGTTTGTATTCTTTTGATCTTTCCTTTACTCTCTTTTTTCATGTGCAACCGCGTAAGATCATAATTTAAGAGATGCTGATACAATAAGAACAAAGCAGTACAACCATTGTTCACTCATGAATCATCTGTGATTGCTCGTATACAAGTTTATGTATGATTTTCGCGCTATGTATGAGGATCATACGCCATACTTCATGATTTCAGATATGTTTATGATGATTAGTAGACATGTCTAGTTGGTTCGTTCGATGAAAGTTAAAGGCACTAAGTATATGATTTATGTTAAAAATTCAGTGTGTATAGAAGCACTAATAAAAAGTCATAGTTACACAGTGGTAAAAGATATAGAAATTAGTAACACATAGTTTTCAGACATAGATATGTTAATTTTTCAAACCTATAAGAGATTTGGTAGAGTAATATGTTATTTGTCAAAGTCATCTATCTTCTCTTCAAACAATTTGAAAATTATTGGTACTAAACATAGAAAATTACACGAAAATAATGTTATTTTTATTCATGAAGACATTTTAGGAAACAAGCATAAAACTTGTATTTAAACCTTTAACACTTGGACAACTTTAGTATATTGTTCATCATCTTGAAGTCATGTGGTTAAAGAAAGATTTTATTATATTTTCTGCTCTATTTTACCATTTTTCGATCATTTATAGCTGTCATGAAACAGAAAGAGCAGCTCTGTTAAGCTTCAAATCCTTGCTGACTGATCCTTCTAACCGGTTATCTTCATGGCAAGACAGAAATTGTTGCAATTGGAAAGGAATCAAGTGCTCGAGTTCAGGTCATGTTGTAGTTGTCAACCTTCGGAATCCTAATCCCGTTGAAGTCATGATCAATATCAATAAGGAAGTTGTTACAAATTCTAAAAACACGTCCGATTTTTCTCTTAAAGGTACTATATCTCCATTGCTCTTTACTCTTGACCATATGCGACATCTCGACCTGAGTTTCAACAACTTCATGTACTCAAAGTTACCTGTTGAGATATCGAACTTAACAAAGTTGACTTATCTCAATCTGTCGAATGCCATGTTTCAAGATTTCATCACCATGCAATTCACAAACCTTACATATCTAAGGTCTCTTGATCTTTCGTGTGCTAATTTAGTACCTGATTTTTCTTCTGTTTCTGTTAGCTTGACATTTCCACTGAAGTTGGAGTTTGGCTCATTGTTATCTTTTATAAGCTACGGTTATTTATCTAGTCCAAATCTTAGGTGGTTACAAGGACTCCGACGTCTCAGATATCTAGTATTGACTGGTGTTGATCTATCAAAGGCGTCCGAATCATTTCATTGGGCTAAACCAATATCAAGCCTCTCAAATCTCATGTCACTTCATTTGTCCAGCTGCAACATTTCAGGAAGAATTCTGATAGGGCAATTACTTAACCTTACTAATCTTGCTACTCTAGATATGAGTTCTAACGTTCTAACATCCTCGATACCTGATCTTCTATCGAACCTCAGTACCCTCTCGATTCTTGATTTTAGTAGCAATGATTTAGATGGTCATATCTCTTACATTCCTCAACTCAAAGAACTTTCTGTTTCTGGCAATCCTGCTATGACCATAGATCTTGTTTCAATGTTTTCTGCTCCATGGCCACAGTTGACATTTCTTGACATAAGCTTCGTTCATGTAGCTGGAATGATTCCTCCTTCTTTAAGCAACTCAACTTCATTGTCCTTTTTCCGAGCTGATGGATGCTCGATTCAAGGGTCGATACCTTCTTCTGTCACAAAACTTAAGAAATTAAGTGTACTGATGCTGAATGACAACGATATCACAGGCCAACTTCCTGTATCCATGTCCAGTTTAGTAAGCCTTCAATACTTATCTATGTCTCAGAACAGATTAGAAGGTCACATACCCATTTCGATCTGTCAAATCGCCTCCCTCAAGTACCTGAATTTAGAATGGAACGATCTAACAGGACATCTTCCGTTGTGCATACTTCAGCTTCCTAAGCTTTCATCTCTTTATATTCAGAGGAATAGACTGAATGGTAATATGCCATTGTCTTTGTTCCGAAAGTCTAGATTAGATGAAATTAGTTTAGGAACTAGTGGATTGTCATTGGAAATCAATGATCAAGATCAACTCTTCGTGCAAACGTTCCAGCCCAAGATTTTGGATTTCACATCTTGCAACATGAGAGGAGAAATCCCGGATTTCTTTTCGAATTTTACAAGCCTCGTGGTTTTGAATTTCGCTAACAACAGTCTATCGGGCGCCATACCACACTGGTTGTTCAATCTCCCTTCCCTCTCTATACTATCTTTGCCTATGAATAACTTCAGGGGAATAATACCTCCAATGATTCAGCTGAAATCTTCTCATTTCCCAACAATAGTAAATTTAGCCAGAAACAAACTTCAAGGTCCTCTCCCTTCTCAGCTCGAGAATGTTAACGTCATCGATCTGTCACTTAACAATTTCGTAGGCTTGATTCCATCACGGATAGGAGAAGTTCCCGGTATCAGGTCCATATCTTTATCCGGAAACACAATTCATGGTCTAATACCTGAATCATTTTGCCAAGCGACTAACATTCTCCAGGTTCTTGATCTCTCTAATAATAGCTTGTCAGGCACCATTCGACGTAATTTGGGAAACTGCAAGTCTCTCATTTACCTTAATCTTGGACAAAACAAGCTCACTGGAAGTGTTCCAAAAGAACTTGAACGCGTTACAAGTCTTCGTTACCTTGACCTGAATGGAAATCAGCTAGAAGGATCTTTTCCAAAAATGATTGAAAACTTTCAAGATTTGGAGATTCTGAACTTGGCAGGCAATAGATTTGAAGGACCGATACCAAAGTTCATCGGTGAGCTACACAGCCTCCGTATACTCGTTCTTTCATCGAACATTTTCAATGAATCTATCCCAGAAGGGCTAATGAAGTTGGAAAATCTACAATATATCGGTTTGTCCAGGAACAATCTGTCCGGTCCCATTCCTGAGAATCTCGATGGCTTGAAAATGATGACGAAAAGGAAAAATGAGGCAACCATCTTAGGTTATGTTTACTCCCTCAAGTTCACTGGTGCACAGCTAGAAATAGTCACCAAAGGACAGATACATTGGCTTGAAACAGTGTATTCCTACAACACTGGATTCGACGTCTCGAGCAATGCTCTTACTGGTAAAATCCCTGAAAAAATTGGCCTTTTAAGTGGAATCCCATTCCTGAATCTCTCACATAACAATCTTTTTGGACTGATCCCAAAGACTATCGGCGATATGATTTCACTCGAGTCGTTGGATCTTAGCTACAACCATTTCAGAGGTGAAATTCCAGTGACATTGGCATTGTTAGATTTTCTCCAACATCTCAGCATGTCCTACAACAATTTGAGCGGACGGGTTCCAAGGAATCCACATTTCGACACTTTGTATCAAGACGGAGCAGCATATATCGGAAACAAATACCTATGTGGTACTCCTGATGGGATGAACTGCAGTAACAATGGTCCCTCTATCATCACTGAAACTACAGAGAACGAATACGATCAAGAAAATGTCCTGTTTGTTCTAGTTATATTTTTTGGCTATGTAACAGGCATTTCTGGATTGTTTTTGCTCTTATATTTGATGAAGGACAATTGGAGGAACAAATACTGGAGGGCAATAGACAGAATTGTGTTAAAAATAGTAAAATAGTGTATCATGAACAAAAGTTGTAAACAATGTTTTTTTCTCTATTGTATACTCATCTAATACTATATGAAGTGGTTTGATTCATTTTTTCTGGTTTCCTCTGGTATCCGATACTCACATCAGGGGCGACTAAATCTATATTCGCAAGGATGAAGGGGGATTTTCCACTCCACTATGACCTTTGTTGGTAGATGTGGTATGATTTACATGCTAGTTATGCGGAGGTTATAATGTTAAGGATTATTTATGCAGTGATTAATA